CACGCGTGCGCCATTGTTTCCCGGATAAAAAAGATCGTAGATCGATAGAAGATGGTAATGGTGTGGAAGAATCGGCTGTTTACGTGCCATCATCTACGCTTGTAATTGAGTAATAGTCATTGCGCACTACCTCCGCGAAATTGGCACTGGAGGGATTGATGAATTTCTATGCGGTTGGATGATGGAGACAATGGTTGGTTGAATTGGATTTTTTAATTTGTTGCCGTTGTTAAAGAAGTTACAAATAGGTCTTTCTATTCTATTTATTTTATATTTGTTTGACAAAAATTGAAAAATAGAAAGAAAATTATCCTTTTTTTTTTTTAATGGAATCATTGTTTCGTTAGAAATAATAATAATAATAAAAAAAGAAAAAATTACATGGAATTCGCTGATTCGAATTTTATATCAGCAAATTGCACAAAATACATTTTTTGCAAGTTCAACAGAAATCAATTGCGACACGTTATTTGTTATGAGTACAGAGTTTTAATTTCGCAATTATTATTCTGAAAATTTTTAATGTTAATAGCTTTTTGTTTGTCTATGAGCAATCAGTGTCTGATTAATTGAGGTAATAAACTATCCATCGATGTAAAATAGCTAAATAATCATTGTTTCCGACAATGATCACACAATTATCTTGGTAAATTGAAATTGTGATTTCCGTTTTTCCAATTGTCGATTGGTGCGCAGTTACACACTCACGAAACTGCGTCAAAATATATATATACAACGTATAAGAAAAAACAAATGAAAAAAAAATGACCACCTGTTTCAACACGATAAATCAAGTTATTCTCGAAAGTTTTTATTGCATCGAAGAAAATCTCGAGAATATTGAATAGTTATTGGAAAAAACCTAAATAAAGAATTAAAAAAAAAATAAAAATAGAAATTGAAATGATTTTTCCAATTAAAATGTCGGGAAAAATCAAATCTTGAAAAAATTAGAAGAAAAATAAATAAAATCAGATATAGAAATTGAGATAATTTTTTTTTTTTTTTTTTTTAATTAAGATGTCAAATGAAGAATCTCAAGAACACGTACTTGGGAAGAAAAATAAATAAAATTAAAATAGAAGTTGATGTAACGTCTCGAATTAAGATGTTCTCGACGATGAAAATTTAGAAGGAAAATATATAATTACAGATAATACTTAGGAGCTTACGTAATATGATCATTTATACAATGCAATTCTCATCTTCTTGCAATTCATTTATCACATCACGATTTCGATATATCAAGCATTTCTTTACAACGTTTTAAAATTGAAATTTTCAGAATCGAATGAAGAATCATCTTCTTCTTCTTTTTTCTTTTTTTCGGCACAACGCATAATAGTCTATATTTTTCACATAAAAAAAAAAAAAATTATATTTTACTAGATAATTTAAATTTTTATGAAACACATCCCTCGCATTACAATATATACAAGAATTGTCTAAATCATACAATGCAACAGTCGTAAAATTGCATATGCACCTGATCGCACGCAGCATACTCCGTCTTATAACCGATAAAATCCAATGGTTGAGACATCAAAACAGAAACGAGACAATCTGGAAGTTTTAGCCGTGGCTCGAAGGAGGGAGGCCCATTATACGTCTTTCGTTGCAAGACTCTCGTCGGTATCGTCGCTCTCATCGTATAAATTTCCATACGTGTCCCCACGGCGAAGATCCTCGTGGCACAATACGTCTATTAAGTCGAAATGATCGTTCGTAGCGAGTTTCAGAGGATACACGTATATATCGATACGATCAGGCCCTCTGCATGGACGTCGATCTGGATTTGACGTCGTTACGGCGTCCCATCGTTATTTATGCGCCGAGTCTAGTCTTTTTCCCTCGATTGTATGGTAATATCAAGTGGGGATCTGGTCTAGTAATAGCATAAAATTTAACCCCCTAGTGGGAAATAGCTTGATATGCTTGGAAAAATTGCGCGATCGAGTAATAGGTGCGCGAAATTTATGGAATTAGCGACTACTAATCTTTAAAAAGTGTCTCTTTCGAAGATTATAAATTTATCGTTAGATTTTGAAAAAGGGAGATAATTAAATTTCTAAAGAGAAATTTGTGTAACCGTTAATCTCTCCGTGGAAAATAATTTTTAAAAAATAAATAAACGAAAAGAAATTATCGAATAAAACTTTATCTTCGTTAGAAAATCTTTTATTCATTTCAACGATTACATATTATTGCAATAATTCGAAAAGGAGTTTGAGTTGAACAGGAAGAATTTTAATAATTGTGGACGATCCTCAAGGTCCGTAGAGGACACGAAGTGTTCGTTTTAGGGGGGATAGCCCCATCCTTAACGTCCTTTGAAGCGCGTAGAAGAAAGAACACGCCTGCGTGAACCAAGATTTACGGCGTCTAAATTTCTGGGCCCCCGTATTTATCGTTTCGGTCATGGTGGGCACGTTCGAATTCCTCCTGAACGACGTTTTCGTCCTTTGACGGCCGCCTCTTGTCAAAAAGGGATCCCTTTCGACAAACTAAAACGAAAAGAAGAGGCGTGTAAAGAGCCTCCATCGTTTTTGAAACGGAGGATCAAAAATATAATTTATGAACTTCTCCATAGTTATCGGATATTCGAAGAATTTTGAATATTATTTTTCACGGGCGAGAAGAAATGGTAATAATGTCAAAATACAAGTATTGACCATTCTTATATACAAAATGGATAAATAATTAGGGGAAATAAAGTAAGAAATAGGTGAAACGAGACAAATTACCACGTGTTGTGATAATTATGCGATGATATTATTACCGGTGACAAATTTTACCCATTTGGCTGAAACGGCGTGCCGCGCCATTTATCTGGAACCCTATTAGTCCAGGTGCAAAACACGTTGGGATTCTTCGATGTCAGGAATGATTCATTCGTAAATTATCATTTTCTAAAATACGTGATTAAGAATATTTATAAGGATCGCGCGTCACATTTCGAAAATGGAAAATTAATCAAAATTCCTCGTATGCAATAACTTCTAAGCATATCTAAAATTACAAGTACAATTCAAGAGTTACAATTATTCAGATTCTTAAAACTCTATAAATAGAATTAGAAGCAACGCGCCTTCTTCTTTATTTCCATCCACTTCTTTATCTCCATCCACTTCTTTATCCTATGAAAAATTTTCACAATATTTTGAAAAAGATGATCCACGCCACGCCAAATCCCCCGCGTTCGATTGAGATTAAAATCTCGACGTGCACGTTAACATATTCGACGGTTACCATTTCTCGCCGTGCAAATATTGTGACTCGATGCGCGCACGATCGATTCGTGCGGAACGAACGAAGCTCGTGGGGAACGCAGGAAAGAAACGCTCCTTAACAAACGAAAGTTATTAGAGGGCGGTAATGCTAGCCTAATATGAAAGTTACGAGCTCGTGGGGCCGTGCAAAAGTGGGGCCATAAGTTACAATCAGCCCAGGATACTGCCCACCGGGCAACCCGAAAGTGCTCCGGTTAAATTACTCGAAGGGCCTCCTCAGCCGTGCGAGTGAGAGGCCCTTCGCGCCACGGGGC